AGGCAAGTTTTCTGCCATTATTGTTTCAAACAGGTTTTCAATTTTTTGTTCTCTCTCTTCTCCTTCTGGTACTCCCAAGATGCGAATATTGGCATGCTTGAAATTGTCCCAGAGGCTCCTTACGCTATCCTCATTTTTTTTTCTTTTTGCTGTTCTGATTTTTTTTTTTTTTTTGCTTCCTTAACTTCCAAAACAATGGTTTGCTTCTTGGATTTACGTACTCTACTATTGAAGCTGTGTAGATTATTCTTTATTTCAGTTAATGCCTCCTTCATTTCTGACTGTGCATGCATCATTTCTGACTGATCTTTTTTTATGCTCTTGAGGCCCTCATTAAGTTCACTGAGGTTCCCACTAAGTTTACTGAGTATTCTTATAAGCAGTATTTTGAACTCAGCATCTGTTTGGTTACTTATCTCCATTTCACTTATTCCTTTTCTTGGAGTTTTGTTCTGTTCTTTCATTTGGGACGTGTTTCTTTGTCTCCTCATTTTGGCTACCTCCCTGTGTTTTTTTTCTATGTATTACTTAATGAGAGATATGGGGCTATCTGAGACAGATGCTGCTTGTTTGAAAGAATTTAGGAATACCTGAAGCAAGATTCAAACAGGCCAATGCTTTGGTTAAACAACTGGCAACAGTTTCGGAGGGCCTGAAAGTTGGCTGTGGCGGGGCCTCAGGGAGTCACCAGGGTGGGGCAACCAGTGTGAGCCAGGTTGCTGGAGTCCCAGATATGGCAACTGTCTGCGGCCCTAGGGAAGGGCTCACCAAAGGAACAGAGGCCTCTGACAGCACGTTTGTCCTGGAGAAGCCCCCTGTCCAGCCCTCGCTCCAATGCCAAACAGCTCAGTTCTTCCCTGTATGTGTCTGGTGCCCCTCGAGCCGCCTCCCTCCAAGCTTAAAGGGAGTGAGTCTGATAAGTCTGTGCGCGGGCCATTTAAGGAGCTTCCTGGGGCTCCAGCTGCGTCAGCTTCCCTGAGCCTCGGTTTCCGCTGGCTTTTCCAGCCAGAAGTTATGGGGACTTCTCTTTCTGGCACTGGAACCCTGAGTGGGGCATCTGGTGTGGAACGGGGACCCCTTTGTCGTCTGGGAGGACTTTCCCAGCCCAGGTATCATCCTGTTTTTTATCCACCACATGTGGGTGTGGGACCAGCCTGTCGTGCCTCTGCCCCTCCTACCAGTCTAGATGTGGCTGCTTTTTAAATTTCGTAGCTGTAGGACATCCATTCAGCTTGATTTCAGGCGGTTTTGAATGATCGTTGTTCTGTAGTTTACTTGTAACTTTGATGTGGTTGTGGGAGGACGCACAATACCGCGTTTACCTACGCCATCTTGACTGGAAGTCCCTAATTATGAGTTTTTAAATATATTCCAGATACAAGTCATTTGTTAAATACATGGTTTGCAAAAATTTTCTTCCAGTTTCTGTCTTCTCTCTCTATTTTCCTAACAGTGACATTTAAAAAAGAAATATTTTTAATATTATGAAGTCAACTGTATTGATTTTTTTAAAAATAAATTTTCTGAGGTATACTGACATTCAAAGAGCTGTGTATATTTAATGTATACAAGTTGATGAGAGTTTGGAGAAAAAATACACTTCTGAAACCATCACCACAATCAATGCTATAAACATATTTATCACCTACAGAAGTTTTCTCCCACTCTCTTTATGTTTAAAGTTTTATTTATTTATTTTTGTGATAGAAACATTTAACATAAATCCACTCTCTTAGCAACCTATACAATATTGTTAACTATTGGTACAGTAGATCTCTAAGGTTTATTCATCTTGAGGAGCTGAAACTTTGTACCCTTTGACAAATACCTCCCCATTACCTCCACCCCCAGCCCTCAGTAATTACCTTTTTATCCTCTGCCTCTATGAGTTTGGCTATTTCAGATTTCTCATAAAAAGAATCATGTAGTGTTTGTTCTTCTGTGTCTGGCTTACTTAGCATATTTTCCTCCAGATTCATTCATGTTGTCACAGATGGTAAGATGACCATCTTTTTAAAGGTAATTTTGTATCTTTCAGGGTACAAATCTTGCACATTTTTGTCAGATTTATCCCTAAAAATCCTAATTGTTGATGCTATTATAGACTGTACATAGATATATCTATTATATATATTATAGATATATATTACAATTTTGATTCTGATGGTTTATTGTTAATGTATGGGCACTGTGTAATTTTGTATTCTGAGTCTGTATCTTACACATTTGTCTAACTGATTAGTTATAATAGCTTTTTGAAATTGTAGAGTTTTATAGAATTTGCTATATAGTTTCTTTTTCTTTTCAAATATGGTTGCCTTTTCTTTCTTCCTGTTTTCTTTTGTGCCTCATGGGCTGCACAGATCTTTCTTGTGCTCTTTTCTCTCTTTCTTCTACTTGATTATGGACTTCTGGCCTGGACTGTGAAACAAGGAATTTCTGTTTTGTAAGCCACCTCGTTTGTGGAGCTTTGTTCCAGCAACCCTAGCCATCCACCAACCCTAGCTCTGAGTCTTTGCCATCTAAGATAGGACCCACCTGCTTCCAGCCAGGCTGTCCATCCATATCTCAGTGTCCATGATGGTCTTCACTCTAAGTGACACATCTGTTTTGTCCCATTAATCTGTGCCTTAACGGAAGCTGCTCAGCAAAATGTTCCCCTCAGAAGATGAAATAATGTCATTGTTAGAAATAAAGAATTACTTTGATAGGTTATGAGTAGATTGGACACAACTGAGGAAAAATCTCTCAGCTGGAGGATACAGCAATAGAATCCTTAGAAAATGAAAAGCAGAGGGAACAAAGGTTGAAAGGGGGACCAGAATATTTAATAACTGTGTGACAACTACAAAGATAGGACCCACCTGCTTCCAGCCATTAATCCTTTGCCTTGACTGGAAGCTGCTCAGAAAAATGTTCCTCTCAGAAGGTAAAATAATGTCATTTTCACATAAACTCAGATGGAGAAAATCCATTGCTGGAAGAAGCCTCATAAGACATACTGAAGGAAGTTCTTCAGGATGGAAGGAAATGGTATCAGATGATAATCTGAATGCACATAAAGAAATACAGCACAGGTAAAGGTAATTATACAGGTGAATATAATAGAAAGTATAAATACATTTTTCTTTTATTCTCTTCATTGAGGTAGGTTTACCAAGTTGGAATAGGAAGGCTTACATCTGACAATATAGAAAAAAAAAATCCCTGATAACAGCTGAATAAACAAGTTTAAAAGATACAGCATATTTGGGGAATGTAAGTATAAAATATATAATATGCAAAGTAGTATTCACATTATTAAAATATTTTTATAAATAAACAAGACAAAGACAATCTATTAAAGTGACAACACAAGGCACAAATTGTTCAAATGCCCACATATTCAGGAAAATACAAATGAAATATTGACAACAACTTTCGAGTTGTTAAAATATAAAAAAGATTGATAATGGTGTTAACCAAGATGCAGCAAAATAGGTTTTCCATACCCTGATGTTGGCAGTGTAATAAATAGAGTCATTTGGGGAAGCAATGTTTCAATATCTATAAAAATATAAAATAGGCAAATCTTTTGACCCAGCAATTTTACTTCTGAGAATAAGAAATATGTATTCTGTATGATTCAGGTTATGATAACTAAATATGTAAAAAATTTAAATATTGCTAATAGGTGAAAGAGTTAATTAAATTATACAAGCATACTATAAAGTTCACATATGTGTTTATGTATGAGCATATATCAAAATATGTTTTAAGTAAAAACAAGTTCCAAATAAATATACAAATATGATACAATATGTAAATGAAAATTTAGTAGATATTTATATGAGAATCCTTATAAAAGAACACATCTATAATTCTCAGGACACTCCCAACTGTCAAATGAGTCATTACAGGTTGAAAAGGAAATGGAATGGAGACGGGCTTAGGTTTTGTTGTACAAAACCTTTGGGGAAAGTAAGTATATTATTTACTTTCTTACTTTCTTATATTATAAACGTATGTAATATGTTGAGTTTTACAATGAGAAGAGATATCTGTTGTATTTTTTGTGTAATATTAGAAATGTTACAACATAGATTTAAAAATTAAGTTAATATCCACATATTTGCCTTTTAAAAATATTCCTCCACCAAATCATCTACATCTAAGTGTGTCTGCTACAGATAAACAATGAAAAAATTCCCAATTTTTCTCAAGGACAAATAATTCAGTTTCTGAAATTCATTTCAATTTTTGAGAAGTTGGAAGTACTAGTGCAATACCCAGACCATGGGCACTTCCTTGGGTCCAGTGGAAGAAAGTCTTTAGGACAAACTAAAAGATTGATCTCACCTATTTTTTTTTTGCTTCATCCGAGGACATTTTTGCATTTATATTCAGATAGAGTGAGAGGGGAAGAGGGAGGAAGAGAGAAAGAAAAACATTAACGTGAGAGAGACTCATCGTCTGGCTGCTACCCACATGACGCCAACAAGGGCCAGGGATTAACTGCAACTGAAGTACATGCCCTTAGTGGGAACCGAATCTAGGTCTCTCTAGTCTGCAGGCAGACACTCTCACTGCTGAGCCAAACTGGCCGGGGCTCTTGCCTGTTTTAGTGAGCTCTGCTTAGAAAGCAACATTTGATAACAAAAAATCATGGCAAATTCTCCTGTCTAGGTGGTGTGGCTCAGCATGGACCCATGGTCTCATGGATTGAGCATGATCCCATGGACTGAGAGTTTCAATTCCCAGTCAGGGCACATGCCCAGGTTGCAGGCTGGATCCCTTGTAGGGGTATGCAGGAGGCAGCCAATCAATGTTTCTCTCTCATTTTGGTGTTTCTATCTTTCTCTAAAAAAAAAAAAAAAAAAATCAATAAAAACATATTTTAAAAAATTTCTAATTTCCTTCCCCTTCAATGCAGGTTCACAACTATGATTCTTAGCTTCCTTGCAAGCTTCTTTGTCCTTTCAATAATATAAGTGCTTCTTCCTCATCTTCTTGGGTCCTTTTCATTCTTTCTTGTGCAGTGAGTTCTTGAGATGCTGCTGCTGCTTCCCTTCTTGCCACCCGTGCAAGATATTGCACAGGTGCAGCCCCATCTGTCCCACTGTGTCTCTCAAGATGCAGTAGTACACAGCAGAGTCTCTCACGGTAACCTGGGGCAGGATCAAGGTACTGGACTTTCTGTCTGTTGTGATGATCAGAGAGGCCATTTCTTTGGTCACGTTGTCTTTTAGACCATGAATCACATGCTCTGGACCCTGGTGGGGAAGCTGTCGATACCAATGTATATACTCACTCACAATAATTGTGGAGTGGTTACAGGGCAGGTGCACAGCTTCTTCTTCAGTACTCTCCATTGCATCTGGCTGAGTGGATTTAGCATCACCCATAATACCTAAGGGGTTGAGAAACAGTAGATTAGCTCTGGAATGACAAATTTGGGTGCATCTAAGGTCAGGTTCATAAGCACTCCTGAACTCCCCTCTCTGGCCATGTCCTCTACATGCGCATTTTAATGTTTGTTGCACACAGACAGGAGAAATATTACTGGTATCGGTTGTTGAGCTATCCAGAGCCACATGCCAAAGATCAATTGTTGTATTCCATGACTCTTGGGGTCAATGAACCCAAAGCTCCTTACAGCTTCCGAGTTGTGAGACTCAGGCGATCTTCTATAGTAGTGGATATGAAAACCTTCTCACAGTGATGCCCAGATTCTCTAGAGAAACACACAGACACATGGAAACAAACAGATGCATTTCCACCTAGCATTTGGTAAAGTACAGTGGGAGAAGTAGAAGCAGCAGATTCCTGACCTTTGTCTTTAGCCGTGAAAGCTATCCTTTCTCAGACCCAGATCACTTACCCAAAGTTAGGAGAATAGCAATTCTTGTCACCGATCTCATAGTTCAAGTGAAAACTGGGGTTTCAGGTCTCAGAGCTCAGAACCTGTGTGCTGCTAGTTTTGGGGAGGTCCCAACAACCACACAGCAGCCACTAGCACAGCCTCAACCAGGAAGCTTTCATTTGGGCGTTTCCCAGGCAAGCGTCAGTGAAAGACAGAGCAGTCTCTTGGTGGGGTTTACTTTTATCCCCAGGATTAAACATAATTTAGAAAGAGGATAAGAATGTTTTCCCAATGTCTAGTCCTAATTCAGAGAGTTTATACTGAGATCATTTCCAAAGTTCAAACTCAAAAGAGTCTATGCTCGAGTGAAATGAGTAAGTAGCATCATGTACATGGAGATTAATAATCCTTCATTTTTGGTACATGGCAAAACCCACCATTGAGTTGGTATAAAATATCCTTTAATCTTAGTTACTTATGTTGAGCCTTGGGCTGTAAAGGGAGAAGAGAATTCTTATCCATATTCCCAGCCAGAGCAAGTAAATCTCAGGAACAATAATACATAATTTAACTTCCAAAGTGAGAAACTTCTTTCTGGTCAAAACAAACAAAAATACCATAAGCTCAGTTAAAAATCAAGTGACACTGTAGAAGAAGATATTTGCAGCGTATGTGACACAAGTAACCTCACAGTTGTATAAGACTGCTGTGCTCAGTCTGACAGGGTAAGATACAGAGCCCAGTCTAACAGCCAGGTTGTCTGGTGCTCAGGTCTCCCACATTGGCTCCTGGGGTGATGTCTTAATCATCTTCCTGATGGACATTGTTGGATGCCTCTGGTCTTGATACAGGAACCAATGACTTGAATGGTATTTACTTCTACTCCACTTAAACCCTCTTTAACAGACATATTCTTACTCATGCCCATGCCTAGGGGTGGCCGGCATTGAGGACACTAAGGAGAAAAGCAGAGAAGGAAGAGATGGGAAGAGAAGATTTAGAAAGAGAAATGAAATGAAGACTTTTGACAAGGGAGGTGGCAATAAATATAAAGGAATTCCTCTGGTTATTCTCAAAGGTGGTTATTATTAACAAAATGGGATAGAATAGAATTAAAATTATTCATCCCTCTCTGCTACAATAACTAAACTTTTTTATTTCACTATTGGGACAAATAGTTGGCCATTTAAAATCAAACTATTAATCACTTCTCTCTTCTCTTCACACTAAGGGTGGGCTCTTTGGTCTGCATTTGGGAAGGGCTCATTCATGTCCTGAGGCTTGCAGACACTCAGTGTGAGATCCTGAGGTACAAGGAAACAAAGGAGAGGAAATATGTTCTTTCACAACTCCCTGCTAACCTCTAACTCACCCTGGAAGGAGCTTCATTCAGTTTGCTGCTGTAACAGCCCCCTCTTGTGACTGTACATATGAACTCCTTTGCTTAGAACTGGCAACCAAGTCAGTCAGCAATCCTTCAAGGTTTGAGTTTTCTGTCTAAGAATAGGCGTCTCATATTCGCTACCTCCCTCTAGTGGCAAGGCTCAGTGAAGAGCTTCCTACCACAGTAAAGATGGAGTTATGTTCAGTCACTTGGGGATTTTAGACTTATTTCTGTGACTGTTTCCTCACAGAAATTGTTCTAACGTTTTCCCCCTCAATCAAATTCCTCTCTTTTCCACGTTTGATGACTGTCCCGGAGGCAACATTACGTATTAGCATAGGATTAGGCAGAGTATAAGCATTTAATAATACTTTTTGGGTGAGTGTATTAATTAATATTTATTGGAAGAAGTTATATGGAATGAGTCTCAAAATTATTCTAAATGAAAGCTTCTTATTTTCTGGAAAACAACTAGAACAAAAGTCTCCAGCAGTTAAGATAAATGTAAGATTAGACCTGTGAGTAAATGTCAAATAGACAGCACACCAACTCTTACTCACCACCCTTCAAAAAAAGAAAAATTCACAAATCTGCCAGGCTGGTGTGGCTCAGTGGTTGAACACTCACCCATGCACCAAGAGGTTGCTGGTTTGATTCCCTGTCAGTGCACTGTTTTCTCTCATTGATGTTTCTATCTCTCTCTCCCTCTCCCTTCCTTGCTCTCTAAAAATCAATAAAGAAATTATTTTGTTTATTTTTTTTTTCAAAAAAAGAAAAATTCTCAAATCTAGGACAAGGAAAGCTTGGAATGAAAATATGGTAGCCTATGGCATGGTGGTCATGCAGTCATGCCAGTTTAAAGTAATAACAGTAATTCAAGGTTGGTGTAAATATATACATGAAAGAAATATTAAAATTGCTAAAAGAAATATGAAAGATAAGATTCATTATGCCGTCTAGTTATATAATGCAAAAGTCAGACCAACATTACAAATTTTTATGTAGTATTTATTAGTGTATGATTCAGATGGTATGAAAATCAATACTGAGTCCAAATAACAATAAACATTGAGGAAAATTTTGGTTTTGTTTGTTTGTTTTTATATAATAACCTCATTGGGATGTAATTCACATACCATATAATACACCCATTTAACATACATACAATTCAATAGTTTTTAGTATATTCAAAGAGTTGTATAATCATCACCACAACCAATTTTAAAACACTTCTTGATCCCAGAAAGGAACCTGAACCAATGATCTGTCACTCACCATTACCTCTAGGAACCCCCTCTAGGTAACCACTGATCTATTTACTTTGTCTCTGTCTTGGTCCATTTGCACTGCTATAATAAATTTCCACAGTTTGGGTAGCTTATAAACAACAGAAATTTATTTCTCATAGTTCTGGAGACAGGGGAGTTCAAGATCAAAGCACCAGCAGATTTGGTGTCTAGTGAAGGTCAACTTTCTGGTTCATAGATGGTGCCTTCCTGTTGTGTGATCACATGGTGGAAGGGAAAAGGGATTTCTTTGGATCCTCTTTACAAGAGCACCAATCCTAAAAGCTTCACTTTTTAATATCATTACCTTTCAGGTTTAAGACACAACTGATATGTTTTGGGAGGGACACAAACAGTCTCAAACAGTCTATAGCAATCTCTATAGATTTTCTCATTCTGCATATTTTTTATAAATGGAATTATACAATGTGTGGGCTCTTGGGACTGGCTTTTTTTATTTATTTATTTTTCACATCTAGCATAATGTTTTCTGGGCTCATCCACGTTGTAGCATGTATGAGTACTGCATTACTTTTTATTGCCCAATAATATTTCATTGTATGATATACTATATTTCATTTCTCAATTGATGCACATATGGGTTGTTTCTATTTTTGGTTTTGAACATTTATGAACACATTTTTGTGAGCACATATGTTTTCATTTCCCTTGGGATTAGGTAGACGAAGAATTGCTATGTCATATAATAACTCTATGTTTCATGATTTGAAGAACTTTCAGATCATTTTCCATTGTGGCTGCACCATTTACACACTCATAAAAATTTAAGAAGTTGTTTAATTTCTTTTCTTTTTTCTTCCTCACCTGAAGATATTTTTCCATTTATCATTAGAGTGGGAGAGAGGGATAGAGAGAGAGACAGAGAGAAACATTGACGTGATAGAGCCACATCAACTGGCTGCCTCTCCCACGACCCAACCAGGGCCAGGAACAAATCGCAACCGAGGTACATGCCCTTGACTGGAATTGAACCCGCGACTCTTTGGTCCGAGGGCCGATGCTCTAACCACTGAGCCAAACTGGCCAGGGCAGTTTCATTTCTTTACATTCTCACTAATTCTTTTTATTTTCTATATTTTTGATTAAGCCATGTTAGTGTCTACATTTGTTAAGTGGTATTTTTCTATGGTTTTCATGTACAAATGGTGTTTGTAGCTTATACCCTTTACCAGAATAAGGAAGTTTTTCTGCTATTTCTGATTTGTTAGGAATTTATTTCTTTATTATGGGTGAATATTTACTATACATTAAAATTTTGGATAACTCTTGAGATGATTACATACATTTTTATTTGTGTGATTTATCTGACTGATTTTAAATTTTAAGTGATCATTAAATAAAAGCCAGCTTGGTGGTAATATTTTATTATTTTACTAATATTTTGCCATAAAATTTTTTTTGCTAATATTTTGTTTCGAAGTTTTGGATTTTATATTTACTGAGTTAAATTATCCTATATTTAAAAATTTCTCTATTCAGATATTAGTATCAAAATTATTTTGACCTTTTAAAATGTTTTTTCTTTTCTCTCTACTTATTGTTTGGTGCATCAGTCAAGTTATATGTGACAGGTGATCCTGTCATAATGGCCAACTTTCAAATCTTAGTAGTTGAAAGAAACAGTTGTGTTACTTCTTGCACATACATAGTAGTTCATTTGGAATCAAAGTGATCCTCCAGGTCAGCTATATTATATGTAATGCCCAACAATTGAACCTTCATATCAATACACAATTCAACAATCACTACAGTCTGAAAAAGCAGAGATTAAAAGTTAAGCTAGTTAAGTGCCTCTATCATGAAGTGACACATGCCATTTCTACTCACATTTCTTTAGCCCATGCAAGTCCTACGGCCATGTCAATCCTCAGAAGGCTTGTAGTCCTCCTGGGTTGCTGGAAGGAGAGGGAACTGTATATTAATGAACCGTCACTGTGTACTCCAGAGTCAGCCTTCTGACTCATAACTGAGAATTCATTTCCTCTCTTCTTCCCATGCAGGTGGCAGGTACTCCTTAGGATCCCCTTTTAGTGACTCCTTCTGATCAAAGGCAGGGTCTCTGATTGATATCCTCTAGTCTTCCTGGGGTCTTGCTGTGACTCCTTTGTCTGAAGAATTATGAAGAGACAAATAAGCAGAAAACAAATGAAGAAAAGCAAGCAAACTGTTTCCTCCACACACTCAATAGACTGTTATAGAACAGTTACAGGGTTATGTTGCATACAGTTCCCCTCAAGTGAGAATGAAGAGAGGCACACAGTGTTGGTCTGAAGCAGGTCTGTGATCCCAGGAGGCCTTCCTTACCCTGTTTTGATGTGACTGCCTTCTGCTGGGAGCTCTCCTGCTCACTGATTTTCACATTCTCTGGCTCAGCTCACTAGCATTGTCTTCTTCCATC